GTTCCCCGCGCTGCCAGTTCGCAGCACGGCACTGCTGTCCGCTCGGCTACCTGCGGAACGCCGGGGCGCTGAGGGTATAATGCTGGGGCGCCTCGGCACTGGGGCCAAGGACATCCCGAGCCCGAAAAGAACGCTGTTTAGGCACTGACTAACCACCTAAGTGAGGGCACTGAAGCTACGGGAAAGGCAAGGTCCGCATCGCGTCGCCCCAGCCCGGGACGCCGGATTGCTCACACAGGCTGAGAGTAGAAATGCTGTAAGAAGGGTAGGTTTGCTCGTTACACCCGCCCAAGAAACTAACGCACACCCACTACTAGACTTCCCCGGCCTCTAAACCTGTAGAGTACAGATGTGAAATTGAGTCTCCAAGCAGTTGAGCTGTGATAATAAAGTATTAGGCCTATGATCTAGGCCTTCTGCTTTTTGCCCTTTTGAGAATTTGGTAAGCTTATTAAGTTTCATAACCTAACAGCAGTTGCCCTGCAGGAAGAAAAATGTAGCTTCTGGAAAAAAGAATTCACCAAGTATCAAGTGCTTTGCAAGTACCAGGGGAACATCCATGAATAAGGCAGAATACTCCCTTCATGGAGTTTATATGAGGGTAGGAGAGACAGACAATACAGTATGCAGCTCAAAACTATATAGTTGCGTTAAAAAGTGCTATATAAAAAGAAAACTTGAGGGTAATTGAAGGTAGAGAAACAAACTGAAGAATTGGAATATTGAGTTGAGCTGGCTTTAAAGAGGGAAGAGTTAAGGATATATATATGTAACTACTGGTGTGTTTCAGGCATTTAAAAAAATAGATCTAAGGCTCTGAGTTTAGAGCCTTAGATTTGTGGAAGACCAAGGCAAGGCAGTGGAATTGAGCTGAGTGAGCAAGCCTAGAGTAGTGGAACCAAAGGTTTGAGTGATAGACGGTCTTGAAGGTCATTGCTTGGAACTTGGAACAAAAGTAAAAACATAAAAGGATTACACTGTTAGCCTTTGATTAAAATTTCTTTAGATAACTTCCGTCATTTGAAAACCTTTTACCAGAATTCTGTCAATTAATAAATTGTGCTGGTACATGCATTGTCTCTTCTTAAAATCTTTATTTCCTCGTACTGCCTTCTTCTCTAAAGCGCCATAAAGCCTTTGTATTTGAATGTACTGTCATAGCCATTCTACAAATATGTCCAGTTTATTGTAGTTCATTGAAATTACCATATATTAGAATGGTTTTGACCCAGCCATTGGTTATCCTTAGATTTATAAAATTTATGAGAGGTATATTTAAGAGAGTAGAGTAACCCAAACCGGAGCAATTGTTGACTCCCCCAAAAATTTCTATTAGAAACTAAAGATTAGACTATAATTTGCCTTTCCTATTGAAGATCTTAAATCATTCTAAATTACTTATGAGGATATCACTTTCTTTTGAAATTTGAAAATAATAGTAGAGCAGTTAACTGTCTTCTGCAAGTCTATCCCAACAAAGATTAAATGTCTAAGAGATTGGAGAAGATTCTTATGAAGGAAGTAAGAAAGAAGGAGCAGAAGGCAGGGAAACTCATGTTGAAGCCGATGCAGGTCGAAGCCAATAGAAACAGGAAAGGATGAGTAGAAAAAGTCCTAGTTTGCAGTGTAATTCTGAGTCTTGACCAGAACAGTGAGTAACTAAAGTTAGAAGAATTCCACATTGGGTCAGAATGACTCAATTCTAGGGCCTCTGCTATGCCAAGTCACTGTTTTAGAGCAATTTTAAAGGCTCTTCCCCTCAACTACAGCAGAAGTGAATAATAGTAAGTGGACCTTACTCATTCTAAGTCCCCATCCCCAGGGTAAAGTTTCTATAGTGATCAATTTATTCATTATAAATGTATTTTGGGCTAGTCTTCAATTTCATATTATTTCACATGGATAAAGGTGATAGATTAATAACTACCATAAATTGTCATTTTCTAAGCTGAGTTTGATTCTCTTGTTGCTGATGGTATCACTTGGGCTAGTGTTGTGAATGATCTAATCAGATATCTTTCCTGGTATTATGAAGATGAGCTTTCCCCAGAGTTATTAGAGACTCAAATCCTAAAGGCCAGCTCTTTCTGGAAGACACCTGTGAGAAGCAATTATTCCTTAAGGGTTTTAAATACAAGCAACAAAGATACCTATAATAAGTGATATTGAAGTCTCAACCTAGGAATTAAACCCTTCTTCCTTGTTTGTGGGAGTGCAGGCTGGTGCAACCACTATGGAAATCAATACGGAGGTGCCTTAAACTACTAGGATTAGAAGTCCCATTTGACCCAGCTATTCATCTGGGTATCTTCCCAAAAGAATTAAAAGAATCATACCACAGGGATATATGCTAACCTATGTTTATATCAGCACAGTTTGTAATAACTAAAACTTGGAAAGAGCCCAATTGCCCATCAACTGGAGACCGGATAAAGAAGATGTGTTTTTTTTTTTTGTTTTTTGTTTGTTTGTTTTTTTTAATATAAAATGGAGTACTACTCAGCCATAAAGAATGAGAAACTAGAATCATTTATAGCTAAATGGATGCACTTTGAGGCTATACTCTTAGGTGAAATTAATAATTCACACGTGTAAATGCCCAGTAGTTTTTCTGGTGTGAAAAACAAAGTGTAAATAAGGATCAAAACATATAATTGATATTGTGTAATAGGAAGAAAAGGTCTAAAAGAGTAGAGGAAGTGGGAGGGGTAGGGGAAAAGTAAAAGGGGAGAAGAAAAAATATGTGAAAACGAAAAACATGGAAATAGTGTTTGTAAATAGAGAAAGGTGGAGTGGCTGAAGGGAGGGCTGGGTTATGGGGAAAATAAGAACCAAGATAAGACATGTAAAGGTACAAGATCCCAGTGATGAATGTAACTGTATTGTATACCTAAAATGTACCAGTAAACTTAAGAAAGATAAAAAAGAATAAAAAACAAACAGTACAAAGATCCCACTGCAGCATGTGTGCCATAGTTTATCACCACTGGCCTATACCATAACTTGAGGCCATGCCCAACAGCTTGGCCATTATTATTTCTGATCTACTGATTGAACTGTGACTTCATTACAATTTTACAGTACTCTAAAAATTACAGTAAAGTACAGTGCTTATAGAGTCTTGCTTCACCTAAACAGTATGTTATACAACATTTAGATCCCATGGGTACAACTCTCTCCTTTATCTGCTTTTCTGTGAAGCGAGTTTGCTTGTGGATGCCCTGCTGTGGGGAGGAGTGGATTTCATGCCTAAAGAGGAAGTATACTTGTGGTGTCACCTGAGGATGAGCAGCCAAGAGAAGCCAGGTTATGATCCTTTAGCTGTGCTTAGTTAAAGGTTGGGAGCAGTGTGATATGCATTCCATAGTAGATCCAGCTCATCACTGTCAGTCACCTGAGCTTTCCGTAATAAGTTCTTTTGAAGGGAGATCAGAGTGGTTTACCTCTATGGCTCCATACAGAGACAGAACGATTCTCCCCAAATAATATAATCAAAAGCAGGTACCTTTATACTATTGTTTCATAATGTACCTAACTGAGATAAATGTAGTGAAGAGTCTAAGAAAATTACTTGAAGGAATAAATCTGTGAAAGTCTATCTGTACACAACTATATTTTTAAGGAAATACTTTAATTTACCTCCAAACATACTAATGTTGATCATACTAACATACAGAATTTTCATAAAATATTTTTCAAAAGTCATAAATTACCATGCAAAAGTTATTTTAAAGTAGTAATATCCATTTGCTTGCCACAGTCTGGCCAAATTTTACAAATACTTGGTTTAACAAGACCCCATATACTTGTTTTTTCACAGGGACAGTGTCAAGGTAACTTCAACCCAGTAGATATCTTTTTATTAGTAGATGCCATGTCAGTACCATCTAAAGCAATTTTATTTGTATTACATTGACATGTGTTGCCCAGATCACTTTTCCAAGTCTCAAACTGTTATATACAAATGACTATTGATTAGCTTGCAGGTGAACAGGAAAACAGCCTCAAAAAGCTCAATCCTTTTCCATTTTACTGAAGGAAACCTCCATAGGCAAACTCTGTTGCTTGTGGTAAAAATTTACAAGCTGTCACTGAATTGCTTCTTTCGCAAATATGTACATCTCAACTGATTGATTAAAAATTTAGGTGGTCAAATCGCATAGGCTACAGGTAGTTTTTCCTCAGAAACCTTGGAAGATGTGAATGCCATACAGGAAGTCATGTCACACAGGGAGCTAACAGAAGGTTGGGTAGTGAGGATTGAGGGGAGGAGAATCAAATAATTATTTGGAGAGTAAATTTAAAGACATGCAGATATAAATTTTGTGTGTATAATTACAGATTATAAGCCAGTCATTTAAACATCACAGAAAACTTATAAAGTAGGATTCATTATTATCCCTATTTACAAATGAAATGATACAGAGAAAAGTTAAATGACCTGGTAAAAAATACACTTTTTAAGTCTCAGAATCAAGATTCAAGTCCAAACAATCCAATACTTAAAAACTATACTTTAATTTTACATTAAATGGATAACTTGTTATTTTAGCTAAACTATTCTGTCTCACAGCTAAGTTTGGAAAGGCATTTCCATCATTGACCTGAATTTCCACCTTTCTGTGCTTCCAAGCTGAACCACTGTTTTTTTTCCTGACAGATAAAATTGTTTTACTATATAAATTCCTATATAAGGTAGTTGTTAAATATTTTGGTACAGAGAATCACTTTGTCTCTTTCAGGAATCTTTTCTTTTATTCCTTAACCACTTACTGGTCCAATTATTTAAATACAGGATGACTACAAATTGCATTTTTGTTAATTTTTATAAGATAATATAGCACAAAATATCAAAATGACAATTTTATCAAGTTTATACAATACAAGAATAGACTGGTAGAAATGACACCTGACAGAGACCTGCATAGTCAGTCTGTAAACAAGTGGGCTGCCCAAGTGATTCACAGGGTGAACTGTTAGGAGTCCAAGTTAAAAAGCTGTAAGGGATAAGCAGATAATATAAAGAAGTAAAATGACCAGGTGGAAGATCATTTGGAATGACAAGGAGTGTGGCAAATTCACTCATCATGGCTCCAGTTGCCTTGCACAAATGTGGGCCCAATGTTATCAGAGATTCTGATTTTTCAAGAAGTGACAGAAACATTCATTTTTTTCTTAAGTCTCTATTTTCAAGGTTGGAAATTAATTTTAACACAGCAAACTCAACACACCGAATAAAACTTATCTGCCTATCTGCTGGCTTTA